CCCCCCCCCCCGCCGCCCCACAGCAGAGCAGCGCTTGAGCTGGTCCCAAGCTGGCCGTGCCTCTTGCTCATCCGCCTCTCGCATTTTCAGACAGTCCCAGCAACCTGCAGCTTTATTCATTATAGCAATCGAGTGCTCCGGGGCTTCCTGCCAACTTAATTTTCCATCTTTAATCACATCAACCTGAAGGACGGCTCCTGAGAAATGCCAGTGCCACCCTGCCAATGGTTAAGAGGCTGGGGGAAATAAATACTTTGAAAATAAAGGCTGTCACCCCCACCCACCTGCTCAAAATACAAAGAAACCGGCACACTCCCTGCCGGCAAATCATTTCCCGCACCCAGGAGGCCATGGGTGGGAACGCGCCACGCGAACAACGCCTCCCTGCAGCGGCCCACCCTGTCCTGCCGGAGCCCCCCACTCCACCCGGGAGGCCTAGCTTGGCTTCGGGGTCTCTCTCCCGTGCCCCAGGTCTGAGGGCCGTCTTGGGGAAAAACTGAATCTTGCCCGTGTCCACTAGAAGGTCCAGTGCATTTTACTTTGGGAAAAGAAGGGCAGTGGCTGCTTTGGGAGGCCCACCCCCGGATGGCCAGGGAGGAGGAGACCCAGGGCAGCACCTGCCCAGGGATCCCAAAAGCCGAGCTTTTTCTGGCACATCAAGCAGACCCCTCAGAGCACCGGGGGGATTATGGACGCAGGCAAAACTGGGTGATGAGGCCCCATCCAGCGGCACCAAGGGGCCGAAACGGCACACGGTCAGACATGCACAAGGAGGGAGGAGTAACCAACCCCAGTCCGAACGCTATGCGTTCTCCTCGAGGGATTAAGCCACCCCAAAAACCCCTCCCCACAGATCCCTGCTCAAGCCGCAGAGAGAGGGCTGCACAAATTAGTCGCACAGTTTGTCTCAAAAAAGATTAAACGCAGTTCTGCTGCTATGAAACTAATGCTAAATAAGGACAGCCACAAATAGCTCCGGGTAGCTGCCAGCCAGGCTTCCACCACCTGGCCCACTCCAAAGGCGTGGGACTGCAACGCCCACCATCCCTGGCCCCTCCCTGGCCATGCAGCTGGAGGGGGAAGCTGCTGGCCATGGAAGGCCGCGGGATGTGCACCCGCATGGCCGCCTTTGCCGCTGGACGCCTGTGCATTCCACCCGGCTCCTGTAGCCATGCCCATCCCAGAAAGGGGACACCGGAGGAGCCCCGACTCCGAGTGAGGCCGCATGTCACCGCACGTCCGGCCCCCCACTCCCTGCAGTGATGCAGCTGCAGCAGGCCCCCGCCCCCTTGCCTCCCCTCGCTGCCTCGGATCAGGCGCCTGCTCCCCACCCTGCCTGCCTCCCGTCCTGGGCCTTTGGCAGGGCTGCAAGCACACCTCACTGTCGGGATGCGCAGGCCCAGGCCCTGGCGGCGGCCCTTTCCCCACAACGAGACTGCCTCCGGGCCAGCCAGCCACCCCACACAGGGCGGGGCCTGCCGGGGCCCAGGCCATGAGTGGGGGGCGGCCTGGAGGCCGTCAGCGGCTGCGGCTGGCAAGCACGAGAGGCAGTGCCAGGGGCGTCACCGGCCTCCCGAGCCTGAGGCGAAGGTGCGCGCCCGAGTGCGAGCCCCGCCTGGCTGGGAGCAGCACTGCTCCGGAGGGCACCTCTTCAGCCCAGCACCACGAGCACCACCTGCGCCCCTCCCCACCGTGCCAGCTCTAAGGGGGGCCACCCAGGGGAGCCCCCGACCGCAAAATGGTCCCCTCGCCGAGGCCCCCCGGGGACAACCCTTCCGTCCCTTTGGGGTCAGGCCAAGGCGCCTTCGGTGCTGAGGCGTCCAAGGCGCTCCTGGCTCTCCGCTGCCCGATGGGGACACCCCGCCCGGGGCCGTTCGCAGATCAGCCGCATGCATGAAACAGCTCTCCCGGCTGCTGGGCTCTTTCTGAGTCGTGCATTTCAGAGAATCGTTGCCTTCTTCTAAGCTCCTAGTCCAGAAAATGTTATAAGCCAGCAGAAAGCTGAGCCTTAGCACTACCTGGAGCAGGGGGCAGCCCCTCCCCCCAAATGTGGTGATCCAGCCCCTCCCATCCAATCCCCCCCCCCCCCCAGGGTCTACAGAGACCTTCCACAGATCCCCACAGTGACCCAAGCACCGGCATGGTGCAGGGGGGCATGTCAGGCATTGCCCGGCTTGACCCATCCTGCTGGCAGAAGCAGCCAGGTGCTCCTGCAGCCGCTCTGCCTGGCGCTGCAGCTTCCCAGAGCAGCGCATGCGTGCTGGGGGAATGGAGAGACGGCAGGGTCGACTCCCCCCTCCCCGCCGTCTCGGCACCCCCACAGGTTCCATGACAGATCCTGCCAGCCCAGCCCGGGGCGACCTGTGGCCAGGCTTCCTCCCTCCCCTGAGGCTCCTGTTTGCAATTCATGACCACGCGCTGGCTACACGAGTAGCGCACTAATCCAGCAGACGCAGGGCCTGCTGCCCACGTGTTTCCCTCTGCAGCTCCTGCAGAAATAAGCTCGTTCAGCCAGAACAGCCGCAAATGGCCGCTGCGCTTCACCGGCAACGGAATCGAAGGCGCCCGTTCCTGCAGGGAGGCCGCAAGAGCAGAAATCCACCCCGATCGCTGCGAAGCAGCCTGCGCAAGGGAGGGCACTCCAGGGCCGGGGTGCGCCGCCGTGGGAGCTGTCCCTCCAGAGCCCGTTTTGTGTGGCGCCCTGGGCTCTCTCCTTTCCACCCCTCTGCCTTTTCAGCGCTGCCTCCAACCGTGGCCCATGAGTCACCCGGGACGGGGGCCACCGTCCCACTGGGGGCCAGGGCAGGAGCTCTTCTCGGCACGCCGGCCGAGCACGGAGCTGCCGGCTTCTGGCCCTCGGCAGCTGCCCCAGCGGGAGGAGCAGGCTGGACGAGGCGGGCCGCCGCGCTGCCCCCGCGTCGCTGGCTGGGCAGGGAGCTGCCTCTGTCCGGACCAGCCCGGCCAGCTCCCCGGGCCACAAGGGCCCTCAGCCCATCCAGGAGGGGCCACGCCGAGGCCCCCTGCAAGAGCAGCCCTGCAAGTCGGGGTGGGCCCGGGACCCACGTGTGGGGCAGAGGCGGCCTTCTGGAGTAGGAAGGGATGCTCTGAGTGACCACGAGCCAGGATGGGAAACAAACCGCGCTGCAGCCCCGCAGGGGTGCAGGCGGCCACTGTGGGCTGGAAGCCAAGCCGTGGTCCTCGCACGCCCGCTGCCCTCTGGTGCAGCACAGACGGAGCGAAACCCGCCGGCACCATCCAGCCTGCCCGGCGAAGCCCACCCCTTAATCTGGCTGCAACGCTGCAGTCCCTGCTGTCGGCCCAGCAACCTCGCAGGGCCGGCGTTGTCTTTCTTCAGACTTCCGCTTATATGCCACCTACTACCAAAGTCTCAAGGCACCTTACAATAAAAGATAAATATACATATAACAATGAATAAAGAATAAAACTTCATCATCAAAATGTAAAACCTAACCAAGTCACAACAGAGCTAGCAGTGAGAAGCGGGCAGGATCAATTGCTAGAAAAGATATTAAAAGGGAACGCTTCTGCCTGGCGCTGAAACAGCAACACAGACGGTGCCAGGCGGATGCCCTGGGGAGGCTCTTCCAGAGGCAAGGAGCAGGCGCTGAGAAGGCCCTTCGACTCTTTGCCATCCCTCTCACCCCTCTGAGGGGTGGCTCCTTGAGAAGGGCCTCCTAGCCAGATCTTAAAGGACGGGCGAGTTCCTATGAAGGCAGGCAGTCCTTCAGGTAGCCAGGCCCTAAGCTCTATACATCCCAACAAGCCCCTTGCATTGCTCCGTCCAGAAGCTGCAGACCGGGCACGCCTTGACCGCAATGCGATGATACGCCTTCCCCACACACCCCTGCGCCGGTGTGGAAGAGCTCTCTCACCCACAGAGGAAAGCACTTTTGCACAGGGCGGCGCCACGCTCAGGACTCGGACATCCGGATGAGAGAGCCGCTGCTCCTGAGTGAGGCCTCTTGGCCCTTTGCTGCCCCGTGGAGGCTGGGAAGGTTCTGTCTCCATTGATCCCAAGCTCAGCCTCTGCTCCGAGCTGCCCTCCGAGCGGCCGCCTACGCGGAGCAGTTCGAGCCACGGTGCTGGAGAAGCGCAGAGAGCAGCGAGAGGCTCTGCCCCCCAGGACCTACGTGCTCGGGAAAAGCGGCCGCGGGGGCAGCTGGATGGGGCACGAGCCCGGCCGGCCCTCCCCTCACCCCACACTGGCAGGTGGCGCGGGCGACCCACCTTCCCGAAGCTGCCTTTGCCCAGCACCATCAGGAAGTTGAAGTCAGACAGCTTCATGCGGTCCCGGTTCCCGTTGTTGTCGAACTTGGAGACTGCGTTGGACGGCTTCTCCTCCACCGCCTTTGATCCGGGGCCAATCCTTGCTCTCTGAAAGGGAAAGGCCTTCATTTTTAAGGAGCGAGGGGAGCCGACGGACGGTTCCCTGGAGAAAGGGGATTTCAGCTCATGTCCCAGCTCCAGCGCTGTGCACACCCAAGGGCCTCTTCAAACGTTCTGGAGAAGGATAGGGGAGACCCTGAGGTGCCGAGTGGGCCAACTCGGCACAACGAACTGCCACAGAAAATGAATCCATCATCCTTCTCCCCTCTGAAGAGGAGGAGACGCTGAGGAAGTGCTGCTTGATAGGTGCGATATCTCAGAGCAGCAGGTAAACGGGAGGTGCTGCTCCAGAGCTGCCCCTGCCCAGCTGCTTTGCCAGCTCCCCCCCCCCCCCACTGCTTCCTCCCCTTGCACTCACGCGCAAGCTTCCATCTTAATGGGTTTGCTGGCCAGCCTTCCAGCATCCCTTCCCAAGCAAGGGAATGGTGCGCAGCAGTGCTCCAGGAGAGCACTCCAGGTGGGCGAGGCGGGGCTCACCTGCACCACAGTGGCCAAAAGCAGCTGCTCTGTTGGACTCGGAAGGTGGCGAACTGGAGCCAGGAAAAAAAGGGGGTGGCCAGAGAACGGGGCGCCTCTGCCAGCCTTTCTCTCCGAGCAACAGATCCACCTTGCACACAGCGGTGAGGAGGGAGCTCTGCGTGCCCACTGGACGGAGGGAGGGCCAAACTGGGGCAGCATTATTTGCAGGTTTCGCCTTGATGGCTTGTCCGGAAAATTAAGTCCGTCGAGGGAAGGGGCCAGCTGGCTTGGGGCATGGTGCGAAGAGGCAGCGCCAGCCGACGGCCCCTGCCCGGCCTCGCCTGCCCTCTGCCTTGCTGGTGCAGCCTTGACTGGCCCCGCTGGAGGGGGCTCCTGGCGGTGTGAGGCAGGGCCGGGCCGGGCCGGGCCGTCCGACCCTTCACAAAGACACCACTGCTCCTTCTCACTCTGCACGCCCCATGGCGATGGCAGTGTGTTCCCTTCTTCCAGCTTCCCATGTTATCTGGAAGCAGTCTGCAGCCTGGAAATCTGAGCACCGTTTTAAAAATTCATCTGAGCAGCCCAGCCTGCCCCGGCACGGCCAAAGCACGCCTGCACCGCCTCACCTCCGCTCCACACTCCTCCACGGTCTGGTGGCTCGCTAATTTACTGGCTCGCAAGGAGTTATACGGCAGAGGAAGAGAGCGAGAGAGAGCCTTGCCTCATAATTTATTCCTTTCAATTCCTGAAAAAACATGCCACCTTGCCGGAGCCTGCCCGCAGCTCCACCACACGAGGCCATCAAGCCGATCCTGGGGGCCAGCTGGGACGGGCTTGGGGGCCGGGGGCCAGGCCTGCTGCCTGGCACAAGCCCTTCCTCCACCTCCGTCTGGAATGCCCTTTGCACTTCCATTCTGGGATGAGGACCAGGGTGGGTTTCCCTGTGGCTAAGCTGAAGCACAGGCACCGCACAGCAGCTCCCTTGCAGGTGTTGGAAGTTAAGGACCCCACAAAGAGCAGATCGGGGGGGGGGGGACTCCTTGGAGGCGCGACTGGCAGCATGGAGCAACTGCCGTTCAATATGCGGGGCACTGCGGGCGGGTTAACTGGGGCTCAGGGCAGATGGGCCTCAGGCCCCCCAGGCAAAAAGGTTCCGCTTTCCTTGGAAATGCTCAGAAGCCTCTGGGTTGAATGCAGGTCGTGCCACAGCTCCCCTCGCACCATTGTGGGCCTGCTCAGAAAAGCCTTAAATGGAGGCGTTGGGGGGTGGGGGTGAAGCAGGATCGTGTCCAGGGATTCCCCAGGCCCAGTTCCCAGGATTCTTTGTGAGCATCCATGATGCTTAAGCTCCGACTGGTGCCTCCTGAGGCTAAGTGGGCATCTTTCCAAACTGAAGTGAGCCCAGAACAAACCTTCAGGCCCATATCGAGAAACACGGGCAGAGCTTCTTCCTTCGTTAGGCTCTGCCCAAAGACCGGTTGTGACTGGTGGGGCAGCGGCGCAGGGACGGGCTTCTCCCACACGGGGCTCCACTCACTGTGCTCTGCCCAGGAGGCAAGGATGGGTGGGGGGCAGCCCTTCCTCCGAAATCACCTGGCTGCGGGATCAGGATTTCACCTGCACCTGCCGAGCCCGCACCTGCCCTCCTGGCCCTCGGCAGGCTTTGTGCCAGGGGCTGCCTCTGTGCCGCGTGCCGCTTTCACACATGCTTCTCCCCCAGTTTAGAGGGGATGGGAAGCCAACCGGTCCCCCATGACTCCTGCGCGGCATGGGCCACTGCATCGCTGCTGGAAGCGCTCCAGCTCCAGGGCGTCTGAGGCTGCCCGCGACTTTCCCAGGAACGGTCCACGGGGAACGGTCTCGGAAGCATTCTAAGCTGGGCCATTTCGCAAAGTGCCCGAAGGCCGTCCAGGCGGACCGTGGCCCCCCGTGAGGGCCCCCACAGCTGCCCACGGCAGAGGCGACCCCCGCGTGGGAGCCCTTCGCAGAGCCCGGCTTCTGCCGTCTGGGGCCGCGAGACCACAGCGCAGACGCCATGCTTCCAGCAGGGGCCGCCCGGGCCGGCGCCCCCCTGTTGGCCGCTCCGAGCGCGGGGAGCTGCGGGCCAGGAGCGAGGCTGCGGCAGGCAGCCTGGAGGGGCTCTCGGGTGAGAGAAGCCCAGAATGGGGGCACCCCTGAAGCCCCATCGCGTGCCGCCTGCAAAGGAAGCCAGCAGGTGACCCTCCGACGGGCAGCGCACGCCACAGAAGAGCCCCCGAGGGGCTACTCACCTCGAACTTCTGCCTGAGCTCTTCGTTGCCCTCCTCTCCCTCGGGTGGAACCGGGACGTTGAAGTACTCGCCCTCCTCCTGGCTCAGCAGCTTGAACCTGCACACAGAGGAGTGAGAAGCCACCTGGCCAGAGCCGGCGGCCGAGGCGGCCCCACATGGCTGTCCAGGGCCAGCGTGCTCCGTGGGGGCGGCCTCCTGCCGTGCACGCGGGGGCACTGCTGGGCGAGAGCCGAGACCTCCCTCGCGCCCACACCCAGCCACACGGGCTCTTGCTGCCGTCCCCCGTTCACAGGACAGTGTTGCGGTGCCTGGGGGAAGCCGACAGCACCCCCCCTTCAGACGCACTGAAAGCAGAAAGCGGGAAGGGGGAAGCATGCCTGGCACAGCCAGGGCAGGGTGAGTCACTTCGGGGGGGGGGGAGGCCGCTCTGCAAGGCGGGGGGGCAATGGCAGAGGAGGCAGGGACCGGATTCTGCAGAAAGCCCCCTCAAGGGAGCCAAGGGGGCTGTGGACCCCAGTCAAGGGCTGGCTTCCCGCCCCCAGTCCTGCTTTGACTCCTGTCCCCAGCGCCCCCACCCAGCCAGCGGGAAGCCACGGGCTGCTGCAGAAGAGCCAGCCGGGGGCTGCTTGGGGGAAGAGGGCTGCCTGGTAAAGAGCCGCCCGGAGAAGGAGAATGACGGGGTCGCGAGCCAGGGGAGGGGGGAGCGGGCCGGGGCAGAATTGGCAGACTCTGGAGCCCGGCTGCGCCACGCAGCCCCATCAGGTGTGGGCCACAGCCGGGAGCCAGGCAGTGGCTGGTAGGGAGGCCACGGCTCAGCCGAGCCACCTGGGAACCGGCGGGCCGCGCACTCCTCACGGACAGCTGCTTGCCGAGAGCAGCTCCGTCCATGAGGGCGGCAGGCCGAAGCGGCTCCCTTGCAGGTCCAAGTGGCCACCGCAAACCGCTCTGTTGGGGTTGCACTATGGGATGCTTCCCCTAAAAGGCTCGGCCCCAAACCAGCACGCAGAAGAGCGGGAGCACTGGAGCAGCCACCTCCGGCTCTGAGCCAGGACGGCCACGGGGAGCTGTGCACGCAGCACCCGCGGGGCACAGGGGTCTCCCAGTGAAAGGGGGTCAGAAACCCGGCCTGCAGCTGGAGGGCAGAACGAGCCATTCTCTGAGGCATGTGGCAGTTTCTGCTGCCTCAGACTAAGCTCAGCCCCATCAATGGGCTCGCGGGAGCTGTTGATCCGCAGAGCGGAGCGAACGGGCTCAGCTGCCTTTCTCCCTTTGCTGAAGCCCCTTGGAAATGAAAAATGCAAAGAAGACGCCCTCATCCCAGAGCTGATCTTAGCCAAACGCTGTGACAAGGAGAATTACTTAGATCTCCATTTACTGACTTTAAAAAATGCAACAAGGAGCTTTTTACCATATTTTACATGCTTTTTAAAGCGCACTAATGTTCCTGGTGGAGCTGAGCTAGAGGAAACTTGACAGGTGGCTACAAGCGCTTAAATGACATTTGCGATGGCTTTTCTTTCCCGGGGGCGGCCAGTGGGTGGGTGGGCAGGCCAGTTTCATGGTCTGCTACAGAGCCATAGAACCACAGAAGAGCAGAGCTGGAAGGGTCCAGAGGGCCACCTGCTCAGGGCAGGACTCCGAATTAAACCATCCCTCCCAGGGGGCTTCCAGCTGCACCTTGGATGCCTCCGGGTGGGAGAGACCACTGCCTCCCCATGTCGTTGGTTCCACTGTCGTACTGCTCTCCCTCCTAAGATCCAGCTGGAATCTGGCTTCCCATAACTTGAGCCCATTTTTCTGTGCCCTTTACTCTGGAATGATCAGGAAGCGATCCTGCCCTTCCCCTTTGTGACAGCCTTTCAAGTACTTGTCAAGTGCTATCACATCTCCCTTTAGTCTTCTCAAGGCTAAACGTGCCCAGTTCTCTCAAGCTCTCCTTATGGGGCTTTGTTTCCAGTCCCCGGGTCATCCCTGTTACCCTCCCCCAAACCCTTTCCAGCCTGCCTGCATCTCTCCTAAACGGTGGTGCCCAGAACTGGATGCAGGACTCCAGATGAGGCCTGACCAGTGTGGAGTAAAAGGGAGGTAGGACTTCACGGGATTTGGAAGTGATGCTTCTGTTAATGTAGCTTAAAATAGCATTTGCCCTTTTTGCAGCCACATCACATGGTTGACTCATTCAGCTTGGGATCCTCAAGCATTCCAAGATCCGTCTCACTCGCACTATTGCTGAGCCAAGTGTTCTCTGTCTTGCCATGATGCATCGGGTTCCTTTTTCCCAGGTGCAGAACTTGGCACTTGTCCCCCCTGAACGCCATTCTGTGGCTTCCAGCCCAGCACCCCAGCCTGTCAGGATCACCTTGGATCTTCCTTCTGGGGGGTGGGGGGGAGCCAGTGCCATGGTCTGCCACACATTCAAAGGATGCAGAGGACCCCAGAGGTGCCAGTTGCCCACAGACGCCCAGCCACATGTCTGCATGTGGCATTGCTCTGCTCTTCTGAGAGGCAATGGGATTTCAGGCGCCCATCTGCTCCACAATGGGGCATTTCCCAAAGGGTGCAGAACCAGCTTTCATCCAGTACTGGCTCCCCTTCATGGCTGCAACCACCAGTGAAATTCTAATTCTTTAAGTGGCTTGGAAGTCCACCCACAAGGCAAAGATAAATCAACCATTTAATCAGTTTATCAGTCACCCTATAGCTCAAGCTCTCAGGATGGCATATGCAATGCAAACACAATGACCAACTGCAGACAACACACCTCTGACGTGGCACTCTACAAAGGGGCGACATTAGCTGATGCTACCAAGCCCTCGATAGCCAATGTACTTCATGTTACATACCAATAGTTGCACTTTTGCTAAGCACCAACGTACTGCACAAGCACTGAACTGCTCAGGGGGCAGAACCCCCCACTCCCCTGGTCTGGAAGCTGCAGCTCTGAATCACGACCCCGAAAGGCGGGTGTTTCATTTGACAAGGAAGCGGCCCCATGGCTTTCCAGTTCTTCACCAGCTGTCCACATGCGAGGGTACAGTGGATTGTGTGGGAGCGTTAGCTAAAGCCAGCCTGCTCGCGGGAATCAGGAGCGACAGAATGAAAATTAAAGGCTGTTTCCGGCTGCAGGAGATAAGGCTGAAGCAGGCAGCCCAGCCCTCCTCCGCTCAGGGCCCCTTGCGTCATCCTGCTCGGCTGTCATTATCTGCTTTGCACGGTGCTTTGCTGCGGGAAAACCTTCCCGAGTCGTTTCATTTGCCTCATCCGCAGATGCTGCCTGAAGGGGTTCGGTGGGTGGGCGAGGAAGGACATCTGGTGTACCCAGTTGGTGCAGTGCCTGTAACTCTTCCAGAGCCAGCCTGCGCAGAAGCGGATGGGAGGGCTGAGCCGCCAGTCCACCCAGGGCAAGCGACCCTGTGCCCCCTTCGAGGCAGCCTCCTTGGAAGAAGCATGGGGGGGCGTGGAACCACCGCTCACAGGGCTCAGTACGCAGCCCTCTCCTGGTCAAATCCCGCAGCTGAGGCATTTCCAGCACCTGCTGGGGTGGGGGTTGCCTTCCCGTGAAGGCATTTCAGAGGGAAGAGGCGGAGGGCTGCTTGGACCGGGTCGCTCCAACCTCCTCTTTCCCCCCATCTCCTCCGAGGTCATATTCTCAACCTCGGAGAGGCAGCTGCCACAGGTCCTTCCATGCTGGCTGTGAGAAGGAGAGGGACAGATCCCCGCGCCCACATCTGAGGTTCCCACCATTTCTGATCTAGCATTCCTATAGCATTATCTGGGTGCCCCAGGACTGCTTCCTGAGTTTACTCTTTAAAAATGTATTTGATTTGTACCCTGCTTTTCTACCCAGCACAACTGTAAAAAACTAATGTAAAACAGTAATAAAACAAATGCATTAAGGGAAAATTAAATAGCAGTAGGAGAGCAAAACCGCTCCCAGCCCAAGAGACCCGGTGTGTGCCAAAGCCCAGTGAAGCAGCGGGACAGCAGAGCGAGCCGCCCCAGCAGAGGGTCCCACAGCCGGGAGCAGCGTGGCAAGGGACGCAGAAAGAGGGAAACAGGCCGAGTCAGGAGGGGCCTCCCCGGGCCCCCCTGCTCTGCCCCCTGGCTCCAGCCGCCTCCACTCAGTTTTGCGTTCCCGGAGTCCAGGCTCCCGGTGAAAAGGCCCAGGGTTCGTGGGACGCTTGCCAGGAATGTCCCACATGCCGTGCAAGCGGCATCATTTGCATGCCTGCCCCTGCCGCCATGGGAAAGATGGCTGGCCACTGGGAGCGGTGCTGGGGAGGGCTGCTGGTTGCACAAAGGGGGCCCGCCAGTGTCTGTGGACATCCGCTTGGCTCGGCTCCCTTTGCAGGAGAGGAAGTCTGCAGATTCCGGAGGGACAGATTCCGAAAGGGATTGCCCCAACCCCAGTCAATGCCATCACCAAGATGGCGCCGGGCTGGAAGCTTCTGCCCCTGCAGTTCCGGCCACACCCTGGCACCAACCCGCTGCTTCTGCCTGCCTCTGCACACGTTCACAGCAGCAGCCAGAATGGTGTACGGATTCTACAAATTATTCCAGAATTTGGGCAGAGCAAAATGAATCCCTGACACATCTAAGAGGGACCTAAGAATTCCGCTGGCCAAAATACCCGCGTAACACGTGCAAGTGCTTCTCACCCGCGTCTCCTCTCCCCGCCGCGCCTTCCTTGCGACGGCAGCAGGGGCTTCCCCACTTTGCTCAAGCCCCCTGGGCCGGGGGCCCTTCGAGACGAGCGCGCCTTACCAGCCATCCACACCGGCTTTCTGCAGCTCCGAGATTCCGAAGGAGAGCGACCCCATGAAGTCGTTCCTGCTGGTCAGGTCCCAGTCCCAAATCTCCACAGACAGCCTCCTGTCCTTGTCAGACTCCTTCAGCTGGCTGAGGAAAGCAGAGTGAGGGGAAAGCGGGGTGAGAAGGCCCCCGCCTCCGGGGAGGACGCTCTGCAGGGCCGCCGCCTCACGAGGGCATCCCAAGCAGCGGCGTCCATGCAGGGCAGGGTGTGCTTCGGTGCCCACGTGGGGCGCAGCTGTGCTCTGCGTCTCCCGACAGCGCCTCCTCCTCCCAGTGGAAGCCGCTAGAAGGACCCTGCCACTGAAACGCACAGCTTGGATTAAGGTGAGCCGCATGTGGTGCTTCTGAGCTGGCAGGGACCAGGAGCATCGCTTGACGGTTACCTCACGGCAAATCGAGCAGCCCGCATGCTACAGAAGCACAGGGCAGGGGTGGGCGTCACACACGGCCCTGGGCCGGCCTCAGAGGTCCCCTGCTGACCTGGCGGAATGCGACAACCTCACCCAGGCAGAAGCCGAGGGGGCCAGCGGGCGGCGGGGGTGGGCTCGCGCAGGGACTGGGCCCGCTCCCCCGACCAAGAGCCTTCCAGGGCCGTGGATGCAGATCCTGACTCCGTGCAGGAGGAGGGATTAGACCCGGCAGGGGAGGTGCCCCGGGCAGAGGAGCTGGCGACCAGCCAGGCGCTCGCTGGGGATCAGACCGCTCCCAGCGCTGCGGGGACAGTCAGTGAGCGCGCCGATGTGGCCTGGCGGGGGCGCCCAGCATCAGCCCTCCGAGGGCGGGCCGCCAAGGGAAGGGGCGGAGCAGGGCAGCCTGGCCGCCAAGCGGGAGCCCCATTTGCAGGCGTGATTTGGACGGGCGAGGGGAGATGGCTTGACCCGTGTCCTCCCGCCACAGCCCCCGCATGGCCAGTGCTCCGGCTCCTCTCGTGAGCCTCAGCGCCCGCCTCGCTGCTTGGCGCCCACGTATGACGCCTTTTGGTCGAAAGGCCTTGGTGCTGGTCGCAGAGCACCACGCACGCAACGCGGAGGGACTGCCACGCGCTGCATGAGGGGCATGGGCTCCGCCACCCAGCCAGGGCCCCCTCCCTGGTCCTCTGGGCCAAGGGTCCGGGTAAGGGCAGAGGAACGGGCGGCCAACCCACACACCCTCCCCAGCTTCTGCCTTTATGAAGAAGCAGGGGAACAGAGCGAGTCAGAGCGGGTCTTCGGGGCCACCTAGTCTGACCCCCGGCTCCAGCCGGCTCCGCTTGCGACGTGCCTGCCATGCCCATGTCCAGCCCGTCTCTGAACCCCCTCACCGGTGGGGCCTCAACCGCCCCCGGGGAAGCCCATTCCACACCCCTGGGGTCCAAACTGTCCAGAAGCGCTTCCTGGCACCCAAATCGAGCCTTGAAAGGAGGCTGAAAGAATCCCAAGAAGCAATGGAACCAGATGCCCCGGCGGTAGCGCTTGGCTGTACTCACAATTTAAACGTCTCATTCCACTCAGGGTTCAACGAACATTTGATGGTTTTTGTCTTCTGTTTGCTCTCACTTTTTGGGTCAGGTATAAGCTTGAGTTTCACATACGGGTCTGACAAGCCATTGGGATCCATAGGAACTAGATTCTTAGCATCTCGTACTGGAAAGAGAAAAGAAAGGCTAAACTGAGAAGGGTCCAGGCACCCACTCCTTCCCCATGCACGTGCGGAAGACCTAGTGGGCCCCACTCCCGGGTCGCAGTCCTTGCACCAGCGGGTCGTAGGCCAGCCTCTGGGGACACGCCTGCTGGCCCAGGGGAGCTAGGCGAGACCACGAACCACGTGCAGCAGAACGAAGGGGCCACGCTGGGCACGCTAGACAGGGGAAGGGCTGCAGCACCCCAAGCTCGGGCCTGCTGGAGGCTGGAGGCCCTTCTCCTGTCCGGACATGCGCAGGATTGGGCCTTGAATGTGGGAGGAGGGTTTTCCATTTCCCATTTGCACGCCTGTGTGCAGCTTAATCCGGCACCTTGGCCCCGCCCTTCGCCCTGGTTCTCTTCTTCCCCACCATCCTCCTTCATCAGTCCCTCTTGTGTTTTCATTTTTTATTTGAAGTATTTTCAGTGATATGTTGTACTGTGTTGATACTCTGAGTTACCTGAGGAGAAGCTTGTCAAATCTAAATGAAATTAAGTCAAATTTAAATTAAAGTAAAGGGGACTAAATCAGAGTCTCCAGATTGTTGATTTCAGCCCATACAAATTATGCTCCAAGGGTCACAACGGACACTGCCAGTGGTCAACTGGGCAAACATAACTTATCTGGAGGGATTTGCCATGCAGACTGCAGCCCGGGCATTGCCAGAGCAGGCGAAGGGCCACCGCGGCTGGGGAGGAAAGGTGGGCTCACAGAGCACAGCAGGGAAGGGAGCCTTGCCGGGCTGGCCTGCCCTGAGGCAGAACGTGAAGAGGAACCGAAGAGCCTCTTGATGCAGGTGAAGGAGGAGAGCGCAAAAGTTGGCTGGGAACTCAGCATCAAGAAAACTAAGACCATGGCATCCGGTCCTCTCACTTCCTGGCAAATAGATGGGGAAGAAATGGAGGTAGTGACAGATTTTCTTTTCCTGGGCTCCAAAATCACCGCAGGTGGGGACTGCAGCCAAGAAATTAAAAGACACTTGCTCCTGGGGAGGAAAGCTATGGCAAATCTACACAGCATTCTAAAAAGCAGAGACATCACCCTGCCAACAAAAGTGTGTATAGTCAAGGCTATGGTTTTCCCAGTTGCAATGTATGGCTGTGAAAGCTGGACCATAAGGAAGACTGAGCGCAAAAGGATTGAGGCCTTTGAACTGTGGTGCTGGAGGAGACTCCTGCGAGTCCCTTGGACCACAAGGCGATCAAACCGGTCAGTCCT